GTAGACAATCTTTATGGAAGTATCTATGAATACGATAAGAAACTTGTTACGTTAGAGGAGAAGTTAAATGATAATCTGGTTGTTTTAAGCGGAATATGGCAAAATTATACATGCTTAAAATATATTCAGGATAATATGTGATGTTATTTTCATACTGAAAAGTAATAACAAACAATCTATATTCATAAATCATGTGTTATAAAAATATAACATTTTATGTTATTTATAAAATCTTAAAATTAGTAATATGTAATAAAGCAATTAATGAAATACTAAAAGGTATTATAAGATATCTAGTACATAATCTAACATATAAAAACAATTATATTATTTAGGAAATATAATTTTCAAGCTTTAGCAGATCAAACTCACTGTGTGTATCACCCATATGCCTAGCATTTCGAGTCCACGACCTCGAGACCATATGCAGCAGGGGATAGTTTGAGTCAACAAAAAGTGAGCTCCATCTTCTAGTCGCCAGATGCGACAATTTCTAACCGTACTTTCTTGCTATTTTTCACACGTGTGCCGGTGGAGCTCCTTTCGCATTGCGATGTATGAAGATTCATGTTCTCGGCATCTGCTCGCGGCCCCTATCCGACCTTTAAGAATAACTGAAGTGTTATGTTTTGCAAGACCAGAATTATTCTTCTTCCAACAACTCACTAACTATTTGAAAACTATTGTCTATATTTATTCGTACGTAAGTGCACATGACCCCTCACTTCTCACGTATCGGGCGAAATTGATAGAGTGATCTACCTAATAATTCTTTCTTTGACGCCCTGTCTATCAAGCACAGGATTCCCCAGAAGCCATGAGATATCGAGTGTTTGAAAAACGTGCCTTTGAATCCATAGGGCAACACGTTCGATAATCAACGCTAACTTCTTAACCAATGTACTTGCCAGATGCCCAAAAGCTTGAAGATTGGATGTCACGTGATAGCCATTCCTCCGCGCATCTTCAAGCCTTCATCTCTACTTGAAATGTACCGAATATTGAATCCAGAGATACTCCCCGAACTCTTCCTTTCGTCTCGCAACAATTATGTTTTTTCGGCCCACTCTCAATCCAATTGGACGTGCGCTACTCTCCTTTCGTAGACTTGCCAGCTCGTCCGTCATCGAACTGAAAACGCGCCCAGACCTTTATAACGGAGTATTCACGAAGTTTGGATGGGTGCTTGTAAAGAAAACACATGTGGTGAGGGGTTGGACCCAGCTTCAATTGAACCAAGTGCTTGAAGAAAAATTGGGCGAGCCGCTGGACCAACATGACTGGGACACGGTGCAGCAATACGCAGATGAGTGGGTAAGAACGGCTAATGCGAATCAAGTTCCGAAACTCAAGAGGAGAACGATGGCAGATAAAAGCAGAGAAGAAGACATGAAATTGTACTTGCAACAGCTGAGGTATGATGAAACGGAAGAGATCTCGGCAGATGATGAAAAGCGCAGGAAACGCCGGCTTGACGGAACAAAGGAAATCAAGCAGCATAAAGAAATTAACAAGAACGCTGTGTCCTTCACAAATGCTTGGAACTATTACATGGCGGTAACTTACAAGACGCATGAGAACCTCAGTCCCAAGGAGCGACGTGTAAAGGTGGGCACAGACTGGCGACAGATGAGCATGGATCAGAAGGAAGTTTACAGACAAGACTACACCCGTCTTCTAAACCTGGGCAAGGATGTCCTTCACGGAGAGATTGTCGACCAAGAGGTTAAATTGAAGGCAACGCAAAAACTATGGGAGGCCAAGGAGCGCGCGAGGCTTCGGAAATTGGGCGTTCTTTCGCCTGCAAACAAACACAGAAAATCAAAGTAAACTATACTTGGCTCGCTGTGTGATTCTTGTAAATACCTTGCGCATCAGAACACAAGTGCCGGTGCGTCTTCGTCCTCTTCATCGTGGCCCAGAAGATCGTAGACCTCAAACAGGTTTTCGTCAAGCATGCTTGTCTCGGTCGTGCTCAATCCAAACCTTCTTTGGGCAATCGAGACGAGTTGATGCCACGACGTGCTGCCTTCATAAATGTCATTGAGGTTTCTGAAAACTGCTTGTAGTTCACCCCTTTCAACAACGTGTGTGCCCAGAGATTCCAAGACGTAGTTCTCAGGCAAAGTTTCTAGTTGCGCCTGCAAGAGGTCAAGTAGTCGCAGAGAGAATTCCGCGTGGCACCGGAGGTACTTTTTACTAGTCAGAGCCAACGCTAGAAGGCTCATCCACTGAGTATACGAGCACAAGTTGCATAGCACCACGAAATGAATGAACGATACCTGGATTTCAGCAAGCAAGAGATCGATGTCGTGACCAAAAAGCTCAGCAAGGTACCATGACCGGTCCAATGCGTCTCGCGTGAGCTGCTCGCCAAAGGCATGGAGTCTCATCTTCTGAGGCTGTATGATGGTGTACTTGAGTTCCTCGTTCGACTGGTCACTGACTGAAATGTCCAGCTTCTTGCTTTTCAATACGTCCAAAAGAACCATGTTTTCCTCTGCCAGCGGCGTCGCCGTAGAGATGGCCTGGGACAGGCTCGGCAAGTATTCCTCAAGGGCCTCCGAGTCGATATACTGACAAAGTCTTGCCCACTTCCCGGGGTCTTCGGGATAGCTGACCATATACTGATAGACGTCGCCGAGATCCAGTCCCAGTGGGTCGTGCGGGGTAAAAAGGGCCTTTTCTTCGGTCCAAGTGACGGTCAAAGCCTCTCCGTCATGGACAGAAAACCACCACGCGTACCTCATCGAAACACCATCCTCGACCGAATCTGAATAGTGGAGAAGATGGTGTCCTGCAGGTATGAGCTTGATGCCCTTGAGGAAGTTCTGGACGGTGAAGAACTGGGTGTCGATGCCAACTACCGCATTGGGCCCAAGCCTGTCGACATTTTCAATGATAAGCGTTCCCAAGGGCGGCCTGTTATTCATGGTGAAGTATTGTGCCTGGCCGTGCGCTCGCTTGATGTCCCAAAAGCTCTTGCGCGCATCGTATGTGCAAACTTGGGGAAGCAGTGCCAATCGGAGACTATGTCAATCACGGACAGCCATGACAAGTGCGGAGTTTCTCTGAAGCTGCGAATGGCCATGTCTATTGGCCTGAGTTTGTGGTTTCCGAAGGCAAGGGTGCGGTGTTGCCGGGTCTGTCTAATAGAGTGCCCAGTGTAGTCTAATAGATTCCCCAGTGAAGTCTTAAAGAGTGCCCAGTGTAGTCTTATACTACGCGTAGTAGCTGATGAGCATCGCTCTCGTCGTTTTCACCCGCATCTTCGAGATCGTGACCAGCAGAGCCCTCTTCGGGGAGATGCTCCTGGAGCTCCGAGAAGCCCAGGTGGATCAAGCGTGATAGCATGAAGCGGTCAATGAACCCACAGGCGCAGCCAGCGGAGTCGTTGATGGTGAGCGTGTTCAAGTGGAGCCTCTCGAATAGCTCAATCACCTGTTTCAAGGACGCTGTGTTCTGGACAATTGTTGTTGGGCGCTCGACGCTCACCGCAACCTCGTATACCGTGCCGGTATTGCCTCGAACCCTGGCTTCGAAGGCCCGCTGCTCGGCCGCCAAAAACGCCGGCACTTTCGCCTGGAAACAAAGCAGGACCGACGCCTCCTGGACGTTCCCGATGTGCTCGACAATCAGCCGGTATATGCTCTTCTTGGACAAGTAGCCCAAGTTGACCGGGTGCGCGTCGCTTGCGATCAACGGGTACCCCTCGTGGTTGTCGTGGGCCAAGTATTCGTACAAGCTGGCGAGCGAATACGGCTGGCGGGGGAAGAGCAAGAAACGCCGTGTTCTTGCAAGCGGAACCATGACCGAGTCGATGGCCACGTCGGGCAAGCGGGCCCGGAAGCGCGCCGAGATGTGGCCGAAGTTGCAGAGCCCGTCGCCCTTGCCCAGGTTCACGTGTGGCGGCCCACAGGCGCTCTTCACGTTGAACTCGTGGCTCAACCAGGCGTCGTAGATGTTTTCCTCGCACAAGTGGTCGTTGACGAGCCGGGACGTCATGACCGCCACCATGATGGGGAGCACGTAGGTGACGGCGCCCGTCAACTCGAAGATAATCACCACCACGGAAAGCGTGAGTTTGGTGATGCCCAGCACAAACGCCGCCGAGCCCACGACCGCGTACGACGACGGCGACACGATGCACGATTTGGCCGTGCACGTGGCAAACGCCGCCGCGCCCACGTGGTTCTGGATGGCCTGCGAGAGGATCCCCACCAAGCGGCCAAGCGTGCCGCCCAAAACGAACGACGGCATCAAAATGCCGCCGGGGAGCGAGAGCCCGTAGCTATACGCCGAGAGAACAAAGCCCTGCACAAAGACGTAGGCGAGTTTGGCGGCCGTGGTCGCCGCAGACGACCCGCACATGAAGTTGACCGAGTTGGACTCTGCAGCCAGCAGGCTCTCGGCCGGGCAGTCGGTGAAGAGGAGCTTCAACAAGGCGCTGAGCGGCAACTTGGTCATCAGCAACGGGAACGTCAAGAGCGCCGTGGCCAAGCCCACACACAAGATCTCCAAGTACTGTGCGTTGCGGAGCGAGGTGCCGAAGACCGCGGCCAAGCGGGCCCAGAGCCCCTGTTTCCACTTGTTGGAGGAGAACCGCAAGTACGCCTGCGTGTACACGTGGCCGTAGAGCCCGCCTACGGCGCCGAGCATCATGAACGGGATCGTCTCCATGAAGAGCCAGCTGAAGTTGCCGAACAGCACCTCGAACAACGAGTGGTCCTCGAAGTTCTTGCCGTCCGTGAACACCTTGAACCCGTAGAGCGCCACCAACGCAATGGTGGCCGACACAAACGAGTTCCACATGAGCTTGGTGGGCGTGAAGTACGAGGGGAGAAGCTCCACGACAAACAACACCCCGCCGATGGGCGAGTTGAACGCCACGGCTATGCCCGTGGCCACCGCGGCGCTGAGCAACTCGCGCCGGAGACCCTCGAGCCGGCTTTTCCCGTACATGCGCTCGAAGCAGATGGTCAAAATGCAGCAGGCAATGTGCACCAACGGGCCCTCCTTGCCGAGCCAGAACCCGGAGCTGACCACCAACACGAGCCCGGCGATCTTGTACATGAGCATCTGCGCGCCCAAGTACTCGTCCATGTAGTAGTTGAAGCCGGCTATGATGAGCTTGATCTCGGAGATCCCGCTCTGCTTGACAAGCGGCGCCCGCGTGACCGTGATCACGCTTGCCATCGACACTAGGAGACACACCAACACCACGTAGATGGGGAAATCGAGCAACACGCGCGCCACACGCGTGTCGTGCCTGCTGATCACCTTCAGCCAGTCGGACCACGCGTCGGCCGGGCAGGTCAGGTACGGGTTTAGAAGCGACCACCCGTCGAGTCGCGAAAGACACAAGCCTTTCTTGAAGTCGTGGAGCCACACGGCGGCCAAGTCCACAAACACGGCCGTGTACCCCACCGCAAGCGACATCACGACCAAAACGGTCCATTTCTTCGGCGCCGAATGCGCTCCCGCCTTCGGGCTGGATTCCTTCATCCAATCGACGTACGTGTTGTCCTCGTACGTGTCGTCCGCCGGCCAGTCCTCGCGGCCAGTGCTGGCCAAGTCCACGTGACCCAGATATTGGATCGTGGGCATTTCTCGGGGGGGTTTTCCTGGAGGGCCTTGGGGTATTGGTGGTTTCTGGCGTACTGGAATTTGGAGCCGGGCCTCAATGTACAGGCGGTCAGTGAGCACCACGCCCAATGCGGGGGAGCGGGCTGGGCGAGCCGCATGCTGAGGGCGACCACGCAGATCAAAGCAGAAAGCCAAAATGCTGGTATCCGTTTGGCCGATTCCTCTCAGTAAAGAAACAGAAGAATGCAGCTATATGTAGAAGATCTATAAACAGGCCCCAATGCGTATCTCGTGTCGAACGATCAGAAACCACATGAAAGCAGGGACATCCGGAAGCAGGCTGAAAATTGAGTCAGCAGAGCCAAACCAAAAATGGTCATCCAGTCGAAAAGACTGAGTCTCCTGGAACAATGCCCTGGCTCTTGCGTCGTCGTTGCTTACATTTATTGGTGAATCCGCGGCCGCATACTTCCGTCACCGCGCACTGTCGAAGTCTGTTTATTAGCAATTATTAAAAGTATATTACCCAGTGAAATCTCCCTTCACAGACATAGCGCACCACAGTCCTCTACACCTGGTCACATGGACCACATGTGTCTTGTGACACTTCAATGGCTGTGACCCGCTGGTCTGATTCTTTCTGCTGCTGGTCTAGCTCGTGCAAGGCCAACGCCGTCTTGACATAGCCAAGACCCTGGTGAATCAGACACATCGTTTCGCCCATGGACAAATAGTTTGCACATAGTGCCTTGATGTTTTCTATGAGTAGAGCCTTCAACTCATCGGTGTTCACATAAGAGTGCCATGTGGTGGCCTTCTTGTACTCATTCGCATGGGTATATTCGTGGATGTCCTCCGACACTATGCCCGCACGATTAGCTGTGTAGAACAGGAGGTACTTCTCCCAAACCCGCTCCCTCATCTGGCTGATTTTACTGACTTCATCAGCAATGCTTGCAACAACATGCCCAAACTTTTTCTGAACCAAGATCAAGTCATCGTGAAGCTGATCAAACCGTGTGTCCAAGGTTTTTAACGCACAGCGACTCTGCTCAATTCTAGTCTCCCAGTATTGGCAGTCGATTGTTTCGTTGCCATCCATATTCGAGCTGATAAACAAAAGCTCGTCACATATGGCAGATCCCAAGCAGTCCAATTCACTCGCTGTTCTCTTGATGGCCATGATACTTTGGAGCAATACTCGGATCTTTTCATTGCACGGGTAAATAATGTTCGTGATCAAGTGCAGAAAAATGCGCAGATAGTTTTCAATGATGAGTGTAAGAATACGATTTTCCTTCCCCAAGTACTCTCCGTTAGTCGTTTTTGTCACTCCCTCACCCTTGGTAGCGTTCGATTCCGAAAGGCGTGAGGTCCCCGTGATGGAACCTTCAGAACTCACACTCAAATCTGAATTCGATAAGCAGTCGTCTTCTGCGTCCACGAATTTGACTGATCTTGTCTTTTGTGTTGACAGCGTTTCTTCCTCCTCGAACTCAAGAAGCAACAACCTGGTTCTTGTCCAAAGAGATATGGCGTGAGTGCGCCTTTGCCGGGTTTGCGCTGCCAACTCTCTGATGTAATCATTAAGCAGGCCTTCTGCAAGGAGCGCTTTAACAAAAGTGCCTTCTTCGTCAGCCGTGACATTGCTCTCACCTGCAAACGCCTTTGAGTCTTCAGCCGTGAACTTTACCCCGCTCATAGGTATCAGGTCAGTGTCATTCACTTCCAACACATCGTCACCATCATTCCACAAGGAAGATGCGTACTTTGAAGTTTTCAAATCGTTGTAGCTTGCGGCTGTTTTCTCGTTGATTGAACTCAGGGCGGATTCCAATACCTCTTGAATTGGTGGCATGTAATGCGGCAATGTTGCTCGTGTCCAATTTCCTTTGGTGCAACTATGCAAGAATGGGGGAAGCTTAGGCAATTTTGGAACTTGAAGGGGAGAGATAGATATTTCTGGATCACCGGAACAATGAGAAAGTCCAGTGACTGAAACCTCCTTTTCCTCGTACTCGGTCATACTCAATTCGAGCTCCAAGCATACTGTCAGACTTTCTGATTCATTGTTATGTTTTGCAGGACAAGCTCCTGGATCAACAACACAGTCAAGCTTTTCCAAAGAAGTCCCCACCACTTGTTTAGATTCGACCAAGTGTGTGGATGAGGTAATGCTTGCACAGTCCACCTCGTCAAGATTTGTCTCCGGCTTAGTTGGGAAAGTATTAGTAGGATTGACAAATAAATTCTCTTCACTTAAACCACGTGAATTTTGAATTCTTGGGAAGACTTTTTGATGTCTAGATCCTGAAGCTGCACCTGGAATTGCAATTTCAAGCCAGCTCACGTTTGTTTCGAGCGTCTCCCACTCTTCCAGTATGAACTTTCTTGTTCTGTACCCTGTGGCGCCAGCAGGTTCTACTTTTTCCTCTTCAAGCCCACCATAACTTGAGGAAGGAGATTCGTTGATCTTTTTTTCTTTAGTAAGTTCGGTTGAGTCTAAGCATTCTGCAGACACAAAGTTGAAAGCTTCGACATCACCATCTGATTTTTTGGAGAGGGACGAAGAGCTCTTCCCGGCATTAATTGAAACGTTTGTTAAATCAGGGAGGATATCCACCAGTATGCGCTCGTCAAACATAGTTTCAGAACGGCACATGTAATCCCGGAGCCCAAAGGGATCGATTTCTGCTCCCCGAATCTGATCAAAGTCTCCAATGTCTTCAATAATGTCACTGATGCTTCTGAGTAGGTAAATGGTAGGAACTTCGTCCCTTTCTGATTTATATTCAGAAACATTGTGACTCTTGCCAAGTCTTCTCGTGGTAGGAAGAAAGCTTGCGATTCTTCTGAGCTTTTGCTTCAAGGAGACTTTAGTGTTCAAATAACAGCCCTTGGAAAATGCCCTAGCTAGCTTCGATCCATTTTGAGCTCTCTGCCTTGAAAAAGATGGTTCCTGAGTGCCATTAGCTTGCAACCTCGTTGCTCTCGCAATCTGTGCTTTTGCAGTAACCAAGACATAGTAGGCAACAAGAATCAGAGTTTTTCGATCGATAGATCCCAATGACAACTTTTTCAAGAGTGAGCGTGCAAGTAATATGCTTTTCAAATTTTTTGATTGGCAAATGAACGCAACTGCATCGGTATGGGGTGCCTTTCTCAGTGCCTTTTCAGTCTGCAAATTGATTTTGTTGGAATCCTTTGCTTCCCTGTTTCTGTTTTTGACCCTTGAAAGAGAAATACCTTGGGTACAAGTAGACTGCTTGCACCCAGGCTTGTTTCTTTCTGAGCGCTCCGGTTTTTCCTTCTTTCTCGACAATCCTGTCTCAGTGGCATCTAGAGGAGATTTCGAACGGCTAATATTCTTTTGACAGTGGCTTCGAAAAACGGCTGAGGCCCTAGCAAACTTGGATAAAGGTTCTGTGGCACGTTCTAATTTGGCCAGGTATGTGGCGCTGGGCTTTCTGAAGACAGTGAATCCAAGTGGCGGGCCGTCTGGGGCGAGCTGGGCATTCATCACCTCTATGTTCTTTGAGTAATTAAACAACATTGGAAGTACTTTCTGTGGGTAGGACACGATTTCTTTAGGCAGACTCATGAAAGAAGCGTGGAATCCAATGACTTGCAGTATTCAGATTTTCCACGTGGAAAAGAACGAAAGAATCAGATAGCTCTTGACTTTCTTTTTGCCAAAAATAAGTTGTTGTAAAAGTATGAGTGTTTTCGTACGAAAACTAGGGAGGACGACTGTTTATAGGAATTTGGTCAAGGCGTTCTGGCATCAAATTCATCTCAACTTCTTGTCTGCCGCCCCCGACCACAAAAAAGCTTCCCCATGCTTAAAAATATGGTCGGGCATCTGCGAAAACAGGACAGTAAGCTCAGAGATTCCGAGATGCCTCACAGGGATATTGAAACTCACTGATGCTATTTTGAATGATTACACTTGAACTGCTAGTTAATATTCTCAACGAGTTTTGACGTATCTCGCAGTGCGGCTCAAGCTTTGCAGCCTAATTTTGGTGCAACATGAGGGCGCGTCACCAACAAAGCAGGCCGGCCTGCGGATTGCGATTTATTAGGTTGAAGCATTGAGAAAAAGTGAAGAATATAGCCTTTTTTTGAAATGCGCACATGATACCTGTTTACTAGCAATACCCCGACACCAGCTCATCGTATTTTTCTGCTTATAAATTTTGAGGAAATGACAATTATCGTTGCTTTTATGTGAAGGAATACTTGCCCGAAGTATGAAAAGACGGGAAGCCGGCTGAAAGCTATATCTCTAGTTGCATGACTCGTATATAGAATGTGTCGAATATTTTGATATATTAGGGCCTCTCTCACAAAATGACCATGGCATGTCTGTTTTTTTTTTTTTGTCTTAGGACAATCTAGTGGAGCAGATTCTGTTATGGTGGACTAAATACTGAGGAACCGGAAGACTAGTAAAGCTGGCACAAATTGAAGCCGACTAGAAAAATCCAGGATACCACACAAATTAGTTCTTTCTCAAGCATTAATATAGAATTGCAGCTTCAATGCGATTCTTTTCAAATGAGTATTCGGCATAGTGAGTTCCTCTTTTACCCAAATCTTCAAGCGTTATAATTCACATCATGACATTAAAACTTCGGCTTGATACCTGGGTAATACTGCTTTACATCCTATTCCTATTCATCCTTTCTAGGGGTCATTTTGGTGGGTTATATCGAGTCGGTGAAGAATTGAGTGTTTGACACATGCAGACAGGAATATCAGAAATTACAAAATTACACCCACCCAATTTTGAATGAAAATACATTATAAAGTAAAGGCTGGCTGTCATTCTCTAGAAAGGTATCAGGAAAGCCCGAGGATTTGTCCGAAATCAACTTTCAGAGGCAAATACCGCAGATATCAAACGGCACGCTTTACAAAGATCCTTAGATGCACAATTGTACTTTCGCAACCTCAAGACTTGTTCACCTGCGAGTCTATACCCGCCGGTTCATCAACACACCATGCTTCGCTGGTTATTTGAAGGATTCATCCTGAAACTCCAAAAGCTAGTGTGCAATAAAATTTTGGGTGTATGAGATTTTTGAGCTCCTTCCGTGTCCGGGTTAATAATAGGACGTATCAGTGACAGCGGCAATGCAATAGGGCAGGTCGGAAGTTTGCCATTTGAGTTCCAAAGTCAAGTTTGTCTCTCCTCATCTTAATCTACCTTTTTGCAAAAAAGCTCATATGGAAAAGACTGGGTAAAAACTTTGCGGACTGTTGGCTCGGGATCACACCCAAACCAAATACTAGTGGGCTTCAACATAAAATGGACAGATCCCAAAGGAACAATTGAAAATCTGCTCTAATCTGCGATACAGTTTTGCTTTGGTGTACATTACAACTGCCATCTACTAAAATAAAAGGTTCTCATGGCGAAGGGCCCATCTGATGGGAGGGTGCAGCCCCGTCCATAGCGGATAGCCGGATGCCTCGTTCCATGCTCGAGTTGATGCATCCCCTTCCATAACGAAATGCTTTGAAAACCACAAGGTGCTGCTCTTCGATGATGCTACACTGAATGACCCACAGCTAATGGACTCACGACTAATGGACCCACAACTAATGGACCTATAACTAATGAACCCACAACTAATGGATCCACAACTAAAGGTACCCCGGACGCCAAAGATTGAGAGAAAACAACTATATGAAGATGAATGTTCTCCACGCGCTTGAGGCTCTTTCTGAGATTTTTGAGAAAGGCGATAATTTTACTGATAACAGCAGGAAAAAATAAATGAAGGTATACGAATTGTGCTACAAGAGAGGTTTGAGTAATAAAATTGTCCAATATTCTCGCAAGAAAATGTACAAAATAGCTTCAAGGCTCTATTAGTGTCTCGATTTTATGAATTAATGAACCCACAACTAAAGGACCCACAACTAATGGACCCATGTCCTGCGCGTCTACTGTACAGCACCCAGACCCAAACCTGACCTACAACGCCTGAAAATCATATTCGGCTCACAAAAAAAAAACGGTATCATACACTTCTCTGCAAAAGCTCCCACAAGACCCAAAATTAAGACAGCAGTGGCTCGTGGCCTTCCGAACCACACGTCCTGGCGGAGACCTGCCAAAAAAAACAAAAAAAAAAACAGTACATCTGCAAGCACCAACCGCGCACCGAGAAAAAACCCAAGCCAAGACGAAGTGCAACGCCAAACACAGTACTCTTCACCATGTCGTTTCTCAACTCGACGTCCACACAGAACAGCGCTGCCACGGGCCAGGAGTTGGTCAACGATATCACGTTGAACAACGGGCCCGAGGACACCGTCACGGACTTGGCGTTCTCGCCCGTGCTGGACATGCTTGCCGTGGCCAGCTGGGACAAGAAGGTCCGCATCTACGACATCGACCCCAACTCCGGGAACTCGCAGGGCCGGGCGCTTTTCGAGCACGACGGCCCCGTGTTCAGTGCGCGGTGGACCGCGGACGGCGCCCGCATCGCCAGCGGCGGAGCCGATAAGCAGGTCAAGCTATTTGACTTGGCGTCGCAGCAGCTGCAGCAGATCGGCGCCCACGACGCGCCGGTGCGCTGTGTGCGCAGCGTGCTCTGCGGCCCCACCAACACGGAGGTGGTGGTCAGCGGGTCGTGGGACAAGACGTTGAAGTACTGGGATATGCGGGCGCCGCAGCCGGTGTCGGTGATCAACCTCCCCGAAAAGGTGTATTGCATGGACTCGTCGCAGAAGCTCTTGGTGGTGGGATGCGCCGAGCGGCACGTGGCCATCATCGACTTGACCAACCCGCAGCAGGTGTTCAAGTCGATCATGTCGCCGCTCAAGTACCAGACGCGGTCCATCGCGTGTTACCCCCAGGGTAACGGCTACGCGATAGCGTCCATCGAGGCGCGGTGCGCCATCCAATACATCGACGATGCGGAGCAACAGAAGGCCGGCTTCTCTTTCCGCTGTCACCGCAAGGGCGCCAACGGCGCCAACCCCCCGCGCACCACGGCGGTAGGCGCCAGCGAGACCCACTTGTACACGGTCAACGCCATCTCGTTCCATCCGATCCACGGCACCTTTTCCACCGCGGGCTCGGACGGCACCTTCTGTTTCTGGGACAAGGACGCCAAGCAGCGCTTGAAGAACTTCCCCAACGTGGGCGCGCCCATCACGGCCACGGCGTTCAACCGGAACGGCAGCATTTTTGCGTACGCCAGGGGCTACGACTGGTCCCAGGGCCACCAGGGCAACCGGCCCGACTACCCCACAGACGTGAAGTTGCACCCGCTGAAGGACGAGGAGATTAAGCAGAAGAAGAAGACGCGATAGACGCACAGAGACGAGCGTTTCCATGTGGCCCGGCACGTTTCCCGGGACTCTGCTGCAGGCGCACGTGGCCAGTGCAGCTGTTGTCCGTGGGGAAGGTTGGTCCACCGCAGGTTAGAATGCCGCCCACCAGATGAGCGTGAGGCCACGTACAGCCTTCGATGGACACTACGGAGAAACACGAGGAACGAGGCAGGTGAGGTACATGAAAAGTTAGAGCCGATGCGGAATGAGAGACAGGCGAGAGACAGAAGGAGAGAGAAGGAGCACGTGGAGCACATGGAGAGTCACGTGGAGCACAGGAAGAGTCACGTGGCGGACTGAAACAAACCCCACGGCACGCAAAACATAACACGAATACAACAGGCCCAAGAACGCACGTAGCCACGTGCAGAGCAGGTGGCGTGCGGGTGTCGCCAGCCCTTTGCTGTGTGCTGGCGGCCCCTGCCCTGGTCAGCCATGGGTTTCGTCTCCATTGGATGCAAGCCGCACATCGCCTGAGCAGCGTGCAGTGCCACCACCAGGGTGCCCGTGCGCCGCAAGCAGCAGGAAACACGTAGGCCCGCGCACCCGTGCATCCCGCGAGGGCAGGGAATCAATCACATTCGTCTGCGAACAAACGTGCCCCGGTCAAATTTTCATCCCGGAACGCACGAGTCAGACGGAGCATAAACACGCCGCCAGCACATCCCGCCGGACTTTCCAAACACCAGGCCCACACTCTCAGCGCCTGTCGTTTTTCTGTCCCCCTACTATTCTCGAGCAGCACAACGACCAGTCGATGCCAAAATGACCTGTCCACCTCGAGCACTCGTTTCAGAGCCATTTGCCTGCCAAGTGGAAACCGTCGAGCGGGCCCTTATCGAGGTCCAGAGCCAGCCGCTGTCATACTACGGGCGGCGCGGCAACAACACAAACACAGCGGCCCGAAACCTGCCCCAAATGGGGCTTTCCGCCGCCAGCCACAGCCTCATGGGCCCGGCCAATATGGGGTCCCTCCTGAACCCGCATGTTCCGGGCCAGCAGACCGCGGGCAAGCCCGGGCACGGCGCCGGTGCCGGCGCGTTCTTTGCGAACAGCAAGTACGGCTTTTACGCGCCCAACAACCAGCGGCCCCAGACACACCAAAACCCGCCGCCCGCCATGGATGTTTATGGCAACACGTACCGCGGGGCCTCGGGGCCCTCGGGCCTTGCTCTTGGCGGCAGCCCGGCAGCCGCCGGGTTCCACGTGCCGTTGGGCGCCGGGGGCTTGACGCCCCACATCCCGCAGGTGTTCAACGACGAGAAGGTATTCGTGGGCGGCGCGGTCGGGAACCTCGGCGATTCGCCCGCGTTGATGGACGCGAAGAAACAGGACGCGTTGGCCACGTTCGACCCGTTCGGCAGCGAGTTCTCGGGCCAGGGCTCGCACGGGCTGCTTTTCCTGCCCATGTTCAGTTCCCCCCGCCAGATCTTGGGCTCCGCCTACAGCTCGACGTCGTCGAACATCTGGGGCAACAGCGGCAAAAGCATGACGGGCGACGCGGCCGTGTGGGGCTAGCCAGCGCGCTGGAACCGGGCCGGGTGTGTTTCCGTGCTGGTGTTTTTGCGGGGCCGTTCTGAGAGCCCAGAGGGCGGGCCAGGCGGAGGGCGGGCCAGGAGGAGAGCGAACCGAGGAGCGGGGAGCGCAGAAACAAACAGAAGGAAAGAAAAGCAATGGAGTGAAGAAGGAGAAAGAACGAAGAGAAACTGAAGTCTGAGGAGGAAGGTTGAAGACGAAGAAGGAAAGGTGAAGACAAAGGAGGAAAGAATAAGACAAAGGAAGAAAAGAGGATGCAAAGGAGGAAAAAGGAAAAAAGAAAGACCCGGAGGGTCATGTCGGAGGTGGTGGGTGGAGGGCCCCGCGGCGCGCTGTTCGCGGCCGGCGGGGGATGTTCTACTAGAGGATATTTAAGTTTTTTGTTCGGTCTGGAAAAACCAGGGACAGGGTGCAGTAGTGCTGCGGATAATCGTTTGTTCGTCTCTGGTTTCAGTTAGTTATGGTCGGGGTCTGGTATTGTATGTACAAGGTTGTATGTGACTAAATGGATATTAGTTGTAATTGCGCGGTGCTCGCTTCCTGGCGAACGCGAAGGCCGAGCCGAGGTCACGTGCGGCGGTGGCTGGTGGGGAGGGGAGAGAGAGGAAAAGAGGGAGGTGTAGAGGGAGGGAGAAAGGGAGGTCAAAAATGAAGATGGACAGAAAAAAGCAAGAGAAAAAGCTGAAGATAGATGGTCCTCGCCAACGGCCCTGCAAAGAACAACAGCGCATCACCGGCCCGGGCCGTAACTCGGATACGCGACTCATTGTCCCTCTGCCTCCACCAATAATTACCGAAGCTTCCGTCAGCCGCACGGCGGGCGAAAGAGCCAGAAAGAAGAACCGGGCAGAGACGAAGCGAGTAGAGCTGAGCAGAGACGGAATTGACAGCATGAAGAACTAAGCAGAATGAAACAATAAGCAGAATGAAAATAGGCTGAATGGAGAAGTTAACAGAGAGACGAGAACAATAGAGAGAATTAACAGAGAGGACAGTGAAATGAACAGACGGTATAAACAGAACGAAGAAACAAACAGACCCCAAATTAACCAGAACCCAAATAACCAGAACCCAAATAGCCTGAGCCCAAAAGAAACAGAAAATAAAAGAAAGCACAGCAGAGAAATTAATCGGAACTCAAAACACATGAAAACAGACCCTGACAAGAGGCACACCTGGAAAAACCGGTCCTGCGCGAAGGCCCCAGGCCCGCCCGCTCACGTGACCACCACGGCGATAGTGGCCAGCCCAGGAAAAACGCGCATGGACCGAGCACGCACCGAACCCGCGGAAGAAGGCCCCAGGGAATTCGGCACGCAAACGAGCGCCAACACTGGCAGAGGCAGGCCCCAGCCACGGAACAGAAACCGAGGATGAACAAAACAGAAAGGGGAACACAGAGAGAGGAACAAGACAGAGAGAGGAAAAAGACAGAGAGGGTGAATAGAAAGTCGAAGAAAGAGAGTAAAGAAAAGCAGTAGGAGAAACAGAGTGAACAAACAGTGTAAAACAGACTAATAAAAAACAGAGTGAATGAAACTGGTGAAAGAATCAGTGTAACAAAGAATTAAAAAAACCCGGGTGAATACAACCGGTCCGAGAATCAGCGAAAAACTGGTGAAAGATTTAAAGTAAAAAAGAATTAAAAATCAGGGTGAATAAAACTGGTCCGAGAATCAGAGCAAAAAACTGGTGAAAGAAACAGAGTAAAAAAAAACTAAGAAAAACAAGGTGAATGAAACTGGTCAAAGAATCAGAGTAAAAAACTAGTGGAGGATTCAGAGCAAAAAAGAATTAAAAAAACCAGGGTGAATAAAACTGGTCCAAGAATCAGAGCAAAAAACTGGTGGAAGAATCAGAGTAATAAAAAAAGAGGGTGAATGAAACTAGTGGAAGAAATAGGGTGAATAAAAAGGGTCAAAGAATCAGAGTTAAAAAATTAATGGAAAAAACAGTAAAAAACAGTAAAAAAACAGTAAAAAAAACAGTAAAAAAAAACAGAGTAACAAAATTCACTGGGCACACTAAATACCTTGGCAGTCAACAGAGCGACATCATTAACGAGGTCAGCGAGATGAAGTGGAAGTCAACAGAGCGAACAAATCAACAGAAGCAACAAAGCATAAACCACCCCCAGCCCATCAACACCACCAAGTATAAACCCCAAAAAATACACCCACCAACAAATACAACAGCCATCAGCCATCAACGCCAGCAACTCATCAAAAAAAAAAAATTTGAAATCAAATACAAACCGCCCATCAAACCAAATCTCCACGCCGCGGCGCCGGGCCCTGCAATTCTTCGTAATATCTCTGCACCGCGCCACTCGCTCGCTAAGCGCACTTCTCCTCACGCAGGCGATCTCACTATCGTCCGGCATCAGCCAGTGCGGCCTGGGCACGGGGCCTCGCGCCAAACCTCCAAAAACAGCGCCTGGTCCTCCTCGGCTTTTTTGCGCCATCTTTTCCCATACGGCCATACTCAAAGGGTTCCATTCTCAAAGTGCCCCAGCCACCCGCCTGCGCCCTGGACCGCTGCCGTTTTAGCCCGGAGGCCGCCATTTCCCTTTCTCTGTGCCCACCGCCCAGCGCTCTTTGTGCCGCCTTTCGACCCGCCCTCCTTCCGTGCGTCGTGCCCATAGATAAAGGCGAGAACCCGTCCGCCCGAGCCAACAAAGGGAAAACAAGCAACAAAAGGACACAGCGGGCATAAAACACCACACAGACAGTGAAACAGACAGTGAAACAGGCCGGCAAGAAATAGTTGAACAGGCCGGCAAGAAAGAGTCGAGCAGGCCGTCAAAAAAAAGTTGAACAGGCCGTCAAAAACCAGTAAAACCGGCCGTCAAAAAACAGACAAACCGGCCGTCAAAACACAGACAAATAGGCCGTCAGAAAGCAGACAAACAGACAGACAAGCAGACAGACTAACAGACAGTCAAAAAGACAGTCAAACAGACAGCTAGACGGTCAAACACACAGCCAAACACACAGCCAAACACACAGCCAAACACACAGCCAAACACACAGCAACGCCCCCGCTAATCGTGCCCCGACCTCCTCCGCACACCAGCACCACTGGAGCCCCTCACCACAAATGAGCATCCACAATACCCCGCACATGCACAGCAAGCGGCCGCCAGGGCCAGCCGGCCCCGAGCCCCAGGCCGCCATGGGCATGCCCCAGCACGGCTCCCCGGCGCCCGCAACACAGCCGCCGCACGTCGCCATGAACAGCGCCCGCTGCGTCTCCGACTCCAACGTTTCCAGCCCCCGCCAGCTCTTGAACGCCTACGTGTACGAGTTCTTGGTCAAGAGCACGTTGCCCGACACCGCGCGGCTGTTTGCCTTGGAGGCCGACCTCCCGCTGGTGCCGCTGGGCCAAGCGCAGCAGGCCCCGCAAACGTCGCCTGCCCTCATGGGCCGTGCGGACGCCGCAGCCACCTTGTTCGACAAGGACCCCGGCCCCGCAAGCCTGGCCTCCGCCACGCCCCACACCCCGGCGCTCTCCGTGGCCCAGTTCGCCGAGGACCACAATCTCCCCGGCTTGGCCCTCCGCATGGAGGCGCCCCAGGGCTTCTTGTTGGAGTGGTGGCAGGTCTTCTGGGACGTGTACCAGGCCAAGAACGACCGCGGCCCGTCCTCGGCCGCCGCCGCGCAGTACCTCCACATGCAGATGGTGGCACAGCGGCAGGGAAACGAGCCGTTCCACTCGGCCTCTGCGCCCACGCAGCCCCCGCAGACCATGCTTGCGCCCACGGCCGCCCAGCCGCCCATGGCCAACATGGTGCCGCACGGCGTTCCCGGGCCCCTGGGCCCCGCGCCCCAGATGACTGTGCACCACCAGCAACAGCAACAGCTCCAGCAACAGCAACAGCTCCAGCGCCAGCTCCAGGCCCAGCAGCCGCCGCCCAACATGGACCCGCGCCAGCAGCGATACATGATGCAGATGATGATGAAGCAGCAGCAGTTTCAACAACAACAACAGCAGCAGCAGAAGCAGTTCCAGAACCTCCAGAACCAGCCTCTGCAGCTCCAGGGCCAGCCACAGTTGAACCAGCCCCCGGCCCAGGGCCCGCCGCTACCCCCACACACCAACTTCTCCCACATGCAGCAGCAGCACATCCAATTACAACATCAGCAGCAGCAGCAAACGCCGCACCAAACGCCTCAACAAGCCCCGCTCCACACGCCACCCCATCCGCAGCACCCAGTCCCGCAGGGCATGGACCAGCCGATGAATAACATGCCAATGAACATGAAACTGCAGCAGATGTTCATACATCAGCAAGGCTTGACCCAGGCGCAAAACCGCATACAGCAGCAGGCGCAGACGCAAATGAACAATCTCAGGCAACAGGCCGTTGTCTCCCAGCAGCACCCGGGCCAGAACTCTACTGCTGCCGCTGCTGCGGCCGTCGCCGCCGCCGCTGCCGCCGCTGCAAACCCTCTTCCCACAGACGGCAACAGCCCGGTCAACATCAACGGCCAGCGGATGAACCAGATGCGTACTCGCCCCATGCCGTCCCAAAACCTTGCCGCGGCGCAGGTGCCTTTCCAGGGCAATATGGTCAACGGTGCTGCAATGTCTTCCTCCTTCGTTACAGGTAACGCACCAGGACCCGGACACAACATGCCAATGGGGAATGCTCCAATGGCCAACAACGGACCGTCTGGACAGAACTCCAATGCCTTGCAGGATTATCAAATGCAGCTTATGATGCTTGAACGGCAGAACAAAAAGCGTCTTGATATCGCGCGATCCAACGGCACCTCCGAGAGCCCCGGTCCCATGCAGCAAGTCCAACAGCCGGTGCAGATGATGCCTCATCAACAAATCAAGGCGCAAGCCAGGCCGTCACCGCGCATGCAGAGTCAAGTCTCGCCGGGCGCCGGTGGCACGAAAACAAAGAAGGAGCCGGCATCTAAGAGGAAACAGAACGCACCAACCAGCGCAACCACACCACAGTCTGCTGGCACAGACGTTAAGGGTGTTGTGAACGGGAGAGGAGCTGCCGGTGGGCAGGTCAAAAGAGAGCGGCCCACACCGACTACCGAGTCCGAGGGAGCCAAGAAAAAGAAGAAACTAGACAACGGTGATTCTCCAAAGAAAGCAGCGAAGCACGCTCCGGGCGCAAAGAAGGAGAAATCCACTCCGAAAGTCAAGCATGCTGAGGAGCCGAAGCTGGACACCGTCAATCTCGATATGGCAGATGGCAAGACATATGACCATTTTTCTACGAGCAAAGTGCCCCCTTCCAACTCAGCCTTATTCCAACCAACTCTTGGGAGCGTCGAGATCATTGGAGGAGCGGCTGGACCGGCGGGCAATAACGACGTGAACTTCTTCAACGCTGGGGTGAACTCCGGCATTGACGATATCGACTTCGACTTTAATCTGTTTCTAGATGGCGGGGATGAGGGCTTGAACGATAGACTTTCGACTTTCAGCTGGGGAAACCCTATCGAGGGTGATTGATACGGTTTTTCTCGGTTGGAAAGACATACAATTTTCCACAATTAAAATTATTCATCAAGCGGACACTGGACTGCGGGCAGATGCGGGAAGAGGTGTACACGGTGGGTTTGGATTCGTGTTTCCATTCCAGTGGAGCAAGACGGCCGCAGGTCTCCCATTGCAGGCCGCTCTGGCGTCACCAAACAAACGTTTGCAATTCTATGCATATACTTTTCGGCCCAACTATGGCAAAAAACAATATACTTACTTTTTAGTCTCCAGGGCCTTCGGCTTGCCCCCCAAGTAGTAGTCAGCATTGTACCATGTTGCAACCAAAACCACGGCGAGAATGGCGACAAGAAGCTTCGAGCTGTCCACGGTGGACGGGAACACATTCCAGCACCACTCGTGGGCAGCAAAAATGAGTGCCCCGGTGAAAACATTGCATCCTGCAGCATGGAGCATGAAAGGAAACAGCCACTGGTACCACGAGAGAAACTGATAATGCAAGGACCGCGAGAACAAAATGCCCACGAGGTTTGTCACGGCAAACGTCAACAAGATCAACCTCGGGCCAGAACTCTGCTGGATAAAAAGATTGCCGGACGCCCGTGTGTTCTTGAATGGACGGAAGAGCCCATCTTTGGCCAAGTGCCAAAGCGATTTCTGCGTGACCCGTGGCGACACGAACCGCGTGGCCACAAACAAAAGCAACACCGCCACGTGGCCCACCAACAAGTAGCGAGCAAACTCGTCGGACACAAACATATCCTCAGGAACAAAGCGCCAGTTGACGGTCCAGGTGTGCAAGAACTTTCTGGAGAAATCGAACGCTCGCGTGAGATACATTCTGCGCAAGTACCGGGCCTCGTCGTCCCAGAACAACGGCAAAAGAAACCTCCATCCAATGAGCACTTGCACCAAGGGAATGACGGCCACGACGGCCAAGCAGTGGAACAAGCGCTCGCCGACAAGAAAGTACACCACAATCACAAATGCGGGGAGATAGAGAAGAACGTTCATCTTGACGCTGAGGGCCATGCTGAACACGTCTGCGGCCACGGCACAAAGCCAAAACGTCACTGTGCCCGAAAGCCGCGGCGCCCAGTACGATGCCTGCTGGAGAATGAGGATCACAGCAAGCACGCCGATTGTCGTGAAGCAGTCGTTGAACATGCGCAACACGTATATGGAGTATAGCCGTTTGCTGCAAAGAAGCAAATAGAGGGGCCACGGGGGGAAATCCCCGGCCATCGTGTACACGGCACATGTGAAGATCACCGTCACTGAGAAAAGATAGCCAAAGGCAAGCTGTGCAATGCGCAAGTTGGCACCGCCATCTGTGAGCCAATACAACGTCTGGTACACCTGGATGAACCCAGCCGGGTACACCACGGGGCCGGTGTCACCCACGATCTGCGAGTAGTCGAGTGCCCCTGCATTGACTAGCTCCACCTGCTGCATGTAAGTGGAAAAGTCGACTTCCGTATACGGCACGTGACTGATGATGAATTTACAGATCATCGAGGACAAAAAGACTAGCACGGGGACCACGGCTCGGTTCACGGCCGGCTCATATACGAGCACCACGGCGCCGTTGACGATGTCAAGAGCCACGTTTTTCACTGTGAAGGCCGGGAGCTCTGGAGGTGTTTTCTGTTGCTGGTCCGGCTGCACCGACGCTGTGACTTCTTTACGGGCACTGCTTTCAGCCTGGGCCATAATGTCGAGTATTCAGGAGGACGATCAGACTTGACGAGAGAAATGCGAGACGGGAGCGGACGAATTGATAGCCGGATGAGCAGAAAAATTGCCAGACGGATGATCAGAAGATTGCCACAGGATACAACACCGATGTCATCTGTGGAATCTATTGTGAGCAGATGAGTCGCGGTGCCAGACATGTGCGCGGGTGCAGGCTTATCAGCACCGGGCCTGATGGATGTTCGGGGTGGATATACAACAAGGCCTCGGCCAGCCTGAGGTGTGTAGGAGTATCGGTATATCACCAGCCATAGGAATTCTCCCAGGCATGTTTACGTTTTCGACGGAAAAGGGAGTCTTGACTTGCATGAGACCCACGATGCCGGTTCGTCTGGGTGCAATAGCTTCTTGGGGCGTGATATCAAGTTCGCTTCGACGTCGGTGTTGCCCGCCAGATGAGTTATTGGATCAGAGATCTTGAAAGAATATTTCTGCTTATTTTGGCGATGTATGTGTATGTCTGTAGGTCAAAACTGTTGATAGAGATGGGGCCTATGGTATAACACGTGGTTGATTCATTTATTAGTATCGCCCGCATGGTGATTCGGAGCCTTGTGAAATACTCCGTTTGGGTAGGGCTTTCTATTTCTGGAAGCACTAAAGCTCAAGCTATCTTCCGGTGCACTCTAGGGCAATTGTATAGTAGATGAGTGGTGTCGCGAGATCCAATTTTAGTGATTGTAGGCAACGGCTTCTTTCCTCTGCAGCCATCAAAGAATGGTTTTCGCATAGACCGAGGAGACGTGCTCGTGACAATGGCTTGCCCAGTGCAATCTTGAGGGTTAGACCACCAAGAGTTGGGTCCCGATGGGGCAAGAGATGATTCTGGAGCTAGAGCCCGCATCCACAGCTTGCCTCCCAGAAGGATTTGAAATGAGCTTGAGACACTTTAATGCGAGCGAGTCACTTAGGAGCTCCTGCGGCAGAAGCGTTAGTTTTGGTTGATGGCACATTCCATTTACGTAAGGGCATCGGGCGTGAAGCCCCATGTTACTTTGGGCGTGGTTCCGTATACATATGGGGTTTGATATTTACGATATTTCTGGGAGGAAATCATACATTAGTCGAGTTTGGTGCAGTGCAGTCGCAAACATGCACGTATAAGTGATACATGGACAGGTCTCCGGCTCTTCAAAGCATGGCCCCCGCTTCTCGCCGTGCGTCACCGAGACGGAATGATCAACGATCTGCTGCAGACCAACGCCACGTCGCTAGATCTCAAGACTGGGTTTGCAGTTTTCTCGTCGTCTTGCAGCAAGGGCCTATGGCCTGCTTGCTTTTCGTGGACCGAGCCATGCGTGCATACTTTTCGTGGACAGAGCCATGCGTGCCACCGGAAGCCGGCTTCACGCAGCCTCTTCCGGTGCCGGGAGAGGCTAGACATAAGCGCGGACGTTTCTCTTCCTCATGTTCTTGGTGGCCTCTCGTCTCTTCTTCTTGCACTCGCGGCCGACCTCGCCCCGCACGGACCAGAACCACTTTTCGTAGTCGTCCTCCTCGCCCTCTGCGAGCTCGCGCATGGAGGCATCGTCGTCCGGCTCGCCCGGGAGCCTGAGCCTCTGGCCCAACAGGCCGATCTTGCCGAGCTGGGTCTGCGTCTGCAAGAACGGCGACTCGGCATGGCTCCAGAAAAGACCGAACTTGCGCTTGTTCGTGTGCCTGCTGTCCAGCCTCGCCTTCTCTTCGTCCTGCTTGGACCTGATTTGCTCGAGGAGCCGCTGGCGCTCGGCCTCCTCGACGGCCTGCTTTTCGTTGTCGATGTCGTCTTCGGGGGCCGCGAGGCTGAAGCCGGCCGCGTCCTGCTGGCTCTGGTTGAACAAGGACCGGAGGGTCTCTGTGGTGCTGGGGGCCTCTGGCGCGGTGAACTTGGGCATCAAGTCCTCGTCGCTCTCGACGGGGTCCGGGTCCTGGGAGTCGCCGGCGTCCTCGGCGGAGCCGGGGGCCGGATCTGAGGCCGGATCGGATGACAGATTGGAGGCCAGATCGGATGACAGATCAGATGACAGATCAGATGACAGATCAGATGACAAATCAGATGACGGATCAGATGACGGATCGGATGGCAGATCGGCGGACAGATTGGAGGACAGACTGGGGGCCAGACCGGGGGCCAGACCCGAGGAAGACGCGCCCTCGCCGCCCGCGTGCTCCTCGTCGTACTGCGTCTTGATGGCCTCCGTCGTGCACAGCCGCTGCAAGTCGTCCATGTCGAGGACGTTGCCCTCGTCGCTCTCCGAGTAGTAGACGTCCTCGGGCGGGCGCTCGTGGGAGGCCTTGTACTGCGCAAGCGCGGCCGGCTCCGGCGCGGCGGCGTCGTCGTCGGAGCCGCTCAAGGCCAACACGCCCTCGGCCTCGAAGTCGAAGCGCCGCACCGTCCGCTGGCCCTTGCTGTCGTAGCACACGGCCTCGTCGTCCGAGGCCTCGTCTGGCTCGAGGGGCGCCTGCCTGCGGGAGTCGAGCGAGGAGAAGAGCCGGGCCAACACGGCGTTGTTCTTGGAGCGCTCGTCAGCCGCGGGCTCCAGGGCCTCCTCGGGCGCCGGGGCAGCCGCGGCCAGGCCGCCGTAGCCCAGGGCCTGGGCGCCCGAAATGCCGCAGCCCGGTTCCGGCGCGCGGCCCGCGCTGCGCTCCACCACGTGGCCGTCGCCCGAGCGCCACGCGCCGTCCACGAAGCCGTGGGTCAACGCGCGCACGGGCCGGAGCTCCACGCCCCACAACTTGGTCTTGTAGCAGCGGATCTGCTTGAGCTCGCCGTTGACCAACACGCGCATGGTCTGCTGGCGGCGCACGAAGTGTGCGGGCGGCCGCGCGGTTTTCCGGACGCGGCCCGGCACCACGTCGCCGTGGCCCGAGGTGTGCGAGTACTGCTGGCGGAAGCCGGCGCGGGGCTGCAACGTGCATCCGTACGAGCGCGGGCCGGCCAACGCGTGCGCCGGGGGCTTGTGCTTGGTGTTGCCGCTGGCGTCCTGGAACGTGTGGGCGGACTTCTGGTACCCCATGCTGGAGTGGTTGGCGCCGATGACGCTGGTCGTGACGAGCGGCGCGCCGGACACGCGGTTGCGGGGCGCCGGCGTGGCCGCCTCGCGGATCCGCGCCGCGCGGGCGGCGGCAATGGCGGCGCTGGTTTTGAGGAGCGGCTGCGCCAGGCCGGCCGGCCGGCCGTGGTCCTTCTTCCAGGCCTGGTCATAGGCGGGCCTGGCCGGCGCGATGCTGATCTTGCGGCCCATGTAGAGCATGCCGTGGAGCGCGGCCTGGAGCCGGGCAAAGTCGCGGTCGCCGAGCTGCATGTCCACGTAGCCGAAGTAGTGGTCGCCGGCGGGTTTGGAGTGGAGCTCGAGGGGCCGCACGATGCGGCCGAACCTGGCCAAGCGCGAGCTGAGCACGGCGGCCTTTTCCTTGAGGGCGGGCGAGATGTTGCCGATGTGGAGGCGGCGGCACGCTGCGGGCGCGGGGTCACTCATGCCGGCGGGGACGGGGTGTGGTGGGGTGGTGCTGATGGAGGGGTGGTTTCCAAAGAGGCGGGCCTGATGGAGGAGAGAAAGGGCGCTGCGATGCGGCGCGCCATGGCTCTTTTTTTCGGCGCGATGGGGCGCGCGGCCCTGGGCCGGCAGGGCGAGGGGGCGGCGGGAGAGAGGCCATGGGGCCGGGGGAAAGAGGGGTGGTGTGAGAGGAAAAGGGGTGGCCTGGAAAAAAGGGGTGGCCTGGAAAAATGGGGATGGCCTGGAAAAATGGGGGATGGTTTGGGAAATAAATGGGATGGTTTGGGAAATAAATGGGGACGGTTTGGGAAATAAATGGGATGGTTTGGGAAATAAATAGGGATGGTTTGGGAAATAAATGGGGACGGTTTGGGAAATAAATAGGGATGGCTTGGGAAATAAATGGGGCGGGCGTGGGAAATAAATAGGGCTGGGAAAGACGGCGCCTTGTGGCAGCATGTGATTCCGAGTTGCTGGAGGCTTCTTTGGCCAGGGTGCAGCCGGCTGCTAATGGTGCTGTGTCGCTCTAAAAACCATAGATTAGAGATTTCATCTGATGTTGTAACATTTAATAGGTTCAACATATACAGCACCTTTTCCCAACATGCTATGTTCAGCATCTGATTTCCCAGGATACCTAAGTTGGGTGA